AATCTACTTAAAAAAAAAAGAAAAATAACATTTTACAATACTGTTGTGTCGTAAAGAAACAATATTTTTCCTAAATTCTGATTTCTATAGCATCAGATTTGGAAAAATCAATCAATATCAAGAATTAAAATTTCATTAATTGATTGTAATTATATGTTACAATTTTGTCAAATTACGTAAAATAGATTAGTTTTTAAATACTCCTTGTATTTCTCATCACTTGTTCTTTTCATTTAAAAAATTGTAGTAATGGCAACTTCGTTCCTACTACTTGCACAGCTGCTATGTTATCTACTTTTTTGGCGAATTCATTACATCCATATGTTCTTTTTCTTCCTCAGTGAGAAATATTTTGGTAATTACTATATCACCTGTACTATATGTTTGGCAAGCCACGCTATTTCCGATATTATGATCCGTTCGTGGACTCTTGGTTTTGTCTCGACATGAACATGCACATTTCGATGATGACGCGTCTACGTTGCTTGAAGAAAATTGATCAGTCACAGAACCAGTCACCGCTGAAAGAATAGCTTCCAGCTTTTCAATTTTTTCAAATCTGTCCATCCGTTCGTCAGAAAGTATTTCATCCATCATCTGCATTGATTCCGTAAGGCTGGGAGTATCAGTGTTTCTTGGTGACAATATACCACCTATAAAAATAGATAAATATTAATATTACAATGCTTTCTATTTTGTGTAATGTCGAAGGGTTATTTATTGCAAGAAATATGTACCAGAATGTGAATTTTCGGAAGTATAACTTTCCATGCTATGATATTCATCGTCAACTTTATCCTCGTCGTCGTCATCGCTACTATCTCCTTTATCTTGACCCATGTTTTCAAGTTTCTCTAATTTCCTTGCAACTTTGTAACTGCCTTTTAACTTCTCTTTTTCATCCTCGGTAAGATCTAAGTAACGTAAAAGGCGTATTTCACGATTACTTAATACAATATTTTTAGTTGTTGCTTCTTCCATCCTCTTTTTTAAATCTGCGACTTCCGTTTCCACTTTACGTTGCTTTTTACGTGCCTTCACGTCTACGGGTTTAATGTACATTTGTATCTGCTCTTCGCACAATTCAGAAAACAGAACTTGTACTTCTGGTTTTATGAGTCTGATGAAGAAAAATCGTTTTGATCAGTAATAAATATTTCACTTACACATTGAAATAAACCCAATTATCAACACGTAATTGAAACAGATTTAAATTTATTAAAATAAATACGATAAGAAAATACATTGTAAATATTGCACACGTGAAAATCGTACTTAGCCATAGAAACGTATATTTGTGGGACCAGGCTCAAAACATCACTGCTAGCATGAATGAGCATGTCTCGTGTTAACGGGCGTCGGCACCAATATCTTTGATTACAACGATACATGCTTTTTAACTGTTCCTTTAATGGATTAGATGGAGCACCATAATGATCACATAATGTATTTAGGTTAACATTTTTTACTTTATATACAGGTTTACCAGTTTCTTGAAATTGAAGTACAGCATGCGCTGCCTAGAAATGAATATATGAATTATTCTTTCAGTAAAAGATAATTTTATTATTTTGTAATGACGATATATGAAACATATTTAATGAAAAAGAAATACCTGTGTGTCGAACACATTATTTAACATAATGTTGAATTGTCTGTATAGATTGACACTATCATTTCTACAATCATGAATTACCTAAAATACAATATGCAATACGTAAAATGTACGTTTTAAACAGGAAAACCAAAGAAGTGGAGATTCCTTACTTTGATAACATTTGGGTGTTCTAAAAGTTTTTGAAGTCCTCCAGCTTGAATAATATTAGGACATGTAAATAAGTCAAATATGTATGATTGTCCAGACATAGTACCAATTTGTATAAGTGTTAATTGTCCTTTGACACCTAAATTAATGCCTTCACAATCCATTGATACAACAATTTTACCATCAGGTGGAGGCTTACGAGGATTTATTATATCTTCAATGATTTGAAGACTTTCTCTTGGATTTACAATTACTCTAGTCTGTTGCAGTACTTTCAATTTCCATGCATCTCCCATTTGTGCAACTTGTAAACTACGATCCTTCTCTGTATTATCTGCCAAAGTCTTCATCACAAGTGTATTTATTCTTTGCTTTAAAGTTTGCTGTTGCAAACTAACCGGTGGAGAACTGTTATTGCTTTCATTTATTTGAGAATAAGAATTATTAGCTTGCACAGAGTTAGTCTGAGTCACTGGATTAGGACTAATAGATTCTGAATTAGTTGTTGACTGTAACGATTGAGTACTGTTCAACTGTATAGCTTGATGTGCATTTATTTGACTTGAAATACTATTTTGATTTCGCACAGAATTAGTGTGTTTTGTTTTTGTTTTCCCTTCTATTACAGAAGACTTTGGTCTTCCAATTAATGTTACCAAATTGCTTTGAACATGAAATGCATCGGGAAACATTTTCACAAATGTACATAAATCTTGAGCTGTCTTAAATATTGAAGTCCAATTTTCATAAGAAAATTTTTCGTTAACTATATTGAACATTTGATCTACAAGAATTGGACCCTTTTGTTCAATACATTCACAAAGAAAATCCAATAATTTTGCAGTAACATCTGGATCAATAGGTATATCAGGCTCTATTTTCATTGCAGGCTCTGCTTTCATACCTTCATACTGCTTTAACATTACATTATCTTCAGTAACTACAAAAGCATCAGGATACTTTGAAAGAAAGTCTCTAAATTCTTTATAATGTTGGCCAGAGATATGTCTAACTTCTGGAGAAGCCTGAGATCTATGTCCCAAAAGACTTTTAATTGGTACCTCTGTACCAACTCCATATTGCATTAATTTATTCGTAAAATATTCTACAGCCTCTCGTGCGTAATCACGTTTACTGCTTAATTTACATCCGTTTTCTTCTTCGGTAATTTGTTGGAAAGTATTTACAGATACATAATCACCATTAATAAGGAAAAGCATTGGATATTGAGCTAAAAATTTTTTAAGACCACTTTGGGATCCCCCTGCTATTTGACGCATTTCTTTTGTGAATCCCTTAGCTCCAAACTGGCAGCTTAAATCATGCAACGTACGTGGTCCACCCTTATCCATGAGAAGTTCAAAGAAAAATAAGAGTGTCATATTTCGTACAGTCTCATATTCTAAACTATCCATCTTTCTACTTTATCCTTTACTTTCAGTACATGTACATGTATATATATATTTTTTTATTTACAATCCCTGAAGAATAATGTCATGATACATCCTAAAGGAAAATATTACAAATATTACCATTTACAGATTCTGATTACTATTAATAAATATATTTTAAAGAAGTTATTTTCTTTAACATGCACTTACCATTATTTTAATCATCAAATACTAAGAATAGAAGCATAAAAATAAATTATTGCCATCATTCAACATATACGCTTATAAGCATCTCGTTGCTCATGCTTTTATGGAAAACAGACACTTGTTTTAAGAATGATTAAATTCCAATCAATAAAGACTTGCACAGCCACCATAACAGAGGAAAAGCTAGATCTGCAAAAGATTGAAAATACTAAATTAATTTTTACATTCTTACTCCATGTTCTTTTAGTTATAGGGAAAAAAATAAAAACCTTATGAACTCTATGCTTCATTTAAATAGAGTTCCTTTCTTATTAATATTGTACACTTTGTAGAAAACAGGAGCATTATAAGATCTTTCTTCTCCTCCTTTGTAGAATACTTAGGTTAACGAAAATTAAAAATAATGACATAACCTAAAAAGGCGAAATAATATTATCACATACATGTACTAATTATTAATCGATACTGGTAAGTAACAACAACTGTTTATCATAAAACAATTTTTAAAAAAATGTTGTATGCTAATAAAATTTTAGCGAACTAAAATTACTGTCTGAAATAACTGCTGGATGTAAACGGGAAAAATATTGCTATGTGTGTGTACACATACATATGCAATACTACCGAATATTTATAAATTCATACTTTAGTATTACAAATTCATAAATGAAGTCTTACTTAACGTTTTGCTAAAGTATCATAATACATATCGTATGCAAGACATATGTCTATAAATTAATTCACTATGTTACGGACATTGTTAAATAATTTGACATTGAGCAGCACGGAAATTACCTATGGCAAATAAGATTCTAATTAACAATGCATATTAGATAAAGATTTAAGGATTGACGATATCCGAATTCTGAGATATCGCAGGTCAAACAACTCTGACATAGATTTAAAATACCACGCCAACAACGCTAATGAACTCGATATATATCCATACAGTAGATATATGTTAAGCGTTCTTTAACTTATTTTTTTCTAAAAAGGCAATGAAATTTAATTACGGCATTTTATTAAAAACTTGCTTATATACCTGGCCTAATAATATGTAGTGAAATTTTAGTCATCCGCCAATGTGGTACACTGTGCAATATATCATTCTATACATACTGAACATGCATATCCAATTAATTCTCACCTGGTAAAACAGACACAAGAGGGAGTATTAAAAGAGGAAAATTGTTTTCTCAAAAAGATAACGATTACAGCAGTTGACCTTCATTTATATTATGAATACATTTAAAAACAATGTATCAGTAAGAATTTGTTATTTGCATTTTAGAATCACAAAATGATCAATAAATAAAATAAAGTAATTATTCACTACTTATATAGGCATCCAAATTTAAAAGAATACATAAAAATACGAATGTAACGTGTCCATATTAAAATGTATGTGACTTTAATACAAAAATAGATATGTGTACATCTATATATATGTTATATATTATATAATATAATATAATGAAAAATACATTTTAAATAATATAAAAACGATGGCGTGCATAGGAAATTAAAATACGTGTCATATATTCTGATAGTTGAAAGTATTAAATTGTAACATTATTGAAAAAAATTGTTATCATAATATTCTAAGAAAGTTTATACTTTCTTATGAAAGTATTTAATTCTATATATCTGTTACATACATTTGTTTGAGATTTAGAGATTTTGAAAATAATCATTGTTTACTAGAATTATTTCTTTAAGTTGGCTATACTTATATTTCGAATTATTTGTCAATTAATTTGTTTGAAATTACTTTTTGTAAAACGTGAGTGTGACGAATACAAGTTACTGTAACAAACAATATTAAAAGTTTAACAATAGAAAATAAATTTATAAAATTTCTACATTGATGAAATATTGATTCGAATTGAAAATGACATTAAATGTTGAATAGATTACAGCAATTTCATACTGAATAAGTGGTCTTTAATTTCGATAAAAATATGTATCAAACTTGTAATAATGATGAGGATGAATTTGAACCAAGAACTACTCCGAAACCTGCTTCTAAGTTTGATGTAAGTTTTTTTACGAAAAATCTGATTTTTATGTTTTATATACTGTGAAATAGTTTGTGAAATACTGACAAAATGTCTATGTTTTTTGAGTATTTATTAGATTTAAGTAAGGTAATTTAGATGCTTTATTTTAGTGCTATACACTACCATCGGTTCCTGAAGTTTCTTTAATATTTGATAAACCATTAAGTTGCAAAACTGTGGATTATAATAGTTCTGGTTCACCGTATGTAGAACCTAAAACTTTAAAATATAAAAATAATGTCTCATCTCCTTTGAATGTGAATGGATCTTACGCAGCATGGAAAGAACAAAATTATTCACAAAAACCACCAACTTCTAAAATAAATGATGGGGTAACTCCTTCAAAAATACAATATTGTCAAAGTTATGCGACAGAACCTTATACCTCAGAAAATGTATTACAAAAATCAAATGAAAGGATCGGTACTTTAAGGAACGAGTTTTATAATAGTCCAAGATCTACAGAGAAACAAATATATAGAAAAAGTCCTGAAAATCTGCATAAACATAATTATGAAGTATATGAGGATAATTCGGCGCAAGTTGAAAAGAAACATAATATTAAAACTCAATGTACTAATACAATAAAACACATGAAGTCTGTATCAAATGTACCGCATGTTGTTAGGGCATATGTAAATAATTGCGATACAAATGAAAAAGAATATTCTCCATTGCTATATGAAAAAAGATCAGTTAATTTTGAGCATCACAATAGTCCATTCATTGATTCAAGCAATGAAGCAACTGTACAAAATTTTCCCATTAATTCGAATAGTTTAAAAAGAACTGAATTTCCGTTACCACAATATCTAGGCCAACAATATCCTTATTTTAATACAAATACATATTCATTTCCGCAGCATCATCCTTGCCCCCCTCATAGTAATGAGAGTCAAGAAACAGTTAAAAATTTATTGCAAATCATAAATAGCCAGAATGAACAAATAAAATCCTTACAAACGCAAGTAGATAGATTACTAAAAATACAGGAAGAAAGTTTAAGAGAAAAGAAAACTTGTTCTTGTTCATTTCAAATACAACAAAATGGTCAATCGATTAAAAATAACGATAATACACTAGATTCCACTAGTTGTATTAGAGTTCCACAAAACTCAAGACAACATCCATATCAGTATGAGTCATCTAAAAATAAAGAAATAAGTAGATGTAACGATAATGAAAATGTAAATCAAACTGAATTGATATTAAAAGAAACACAATCAAGACAAGCTTTTATGGAACAAAAAGTTTCTATTGGTGTAATGACAAGTTTTGAATTTACTGTTCAGAATAGTCCTTTCCCTGTAGATATTGAGGACTATGAAAGAAACGAGAAACAACAAGAAAAAAGTAATTTAAAATTATGTAATAACGTTGGTGTACATGACACTGGTGTTGCACACGAACCGTTAAGAAGATATAAAAATTCTTTTAATAGAATACCTAGTGGACAATTAGAAAATATAGTTGAAGATTCTGAGAGTTATATGTCATCTAGTCAACAACAAAGTAGTAATTTAAATGCAAGTATTTCTCTAAAAGATTTGGATAAACAGGCTTATATGGATGTTCGGAGAGAAATAGATGTTCGTAGATCAGAATCCCCTAAATTTTGTAAAGCTGCAGCTACAAAAATAAATCAGATAGAAAATACACAGAAACGTTTGGAAAGAAATGACGAGGAAGAAACAAAAAATTATGAAATTTCAAAAACACCAACATTACAAAGGAATATTTTAGAATACAATACTTTAGAAAATAAAAATCATAGAACGAATGTTCCTCCTAGTACAGGACAACATACTAAGGTACAAATGCAGAATGATAACGATTGTATACGAACAAACAATTCTATAAACAGATCATCTAGTTATAATAAGAATTATCAAAAAGAAGGACAGGTTCTTCCCAAGCATGGCAGTTGCATCGAAGATAGTCTGATCTTAAATGGTGGTGATTTGAAAATAAACGAAAGGCCGCCTACTCCAGAACCTAGTATTCATGTTGAAATGCAAGAGTATTCCAGCGACGATGATAGCGAAAAGATTAAACGTAGTTCTAAAGTAGGCTGGACTTTCTACAATAATGTTCTTGGACAAGTAAATCAATTGTTACAGAATTCCTCTGTAATAGACGATCAGCAACAAGATCCAAGAAAAGTAAACCAAAATGAACGAGATGAGACTGAGAATAGGGCATTAGATAATGTAAAAGTTGCTACATTAGAACAACTTAAAAAACTTGGAATTAGTTTAAGCGAAAACCCAGAACATAAGGAATCAAACAACAGTAATAAGTACGTTTTTACTAAAATGTATGAAAAATAGTTTCAATTATTTTTCTTTAATTTATCTTACAATTAAATAATATTTTAACTTAATAATATTACATTCGTTTTGAATAACTGAGTTTATTATGTGTATGATAAATTTTATAATTTGTTTGAAAGGATGGCATTTGATTCATCGTTCTATCCACGTTGCGATTACCAAGCAAATATGACACAAGCCACAAGTGCTGTAAATGAAACAAATACAAGTATGCATATGAAGGCATTGGCTTTGAAATATTTAACTGATGAACAACTTTCTGAATTAGCCATACAAAGACAAGGTTCTGCATCTGTAAAACATCTTATGCTTAGTAACGTACAAGGTACAAACATGTCCTTTGCTACAATGCGTTATCTAGAAAGATATCAGCTACTTCCGGGAAAGAATAATGTTCAGACAGAAGGTAAAATTTTTTGAAACATTCAAATTGTTTTGATAATAGTATAAGTTAAAACGCTAACTTCTGTTTTTATTCCCGCAGATATTAATAAAACACAGATGGAAGTACCTCCAAAAGTAGATCTGAGATTAGCAAATACAAAAAATAGTCCTGCATTAAAACGTTTTCCTTTCACTCAGACACCGAGAACGACTTGTCCTAGTAAGATTTTGGATATTTCAACTTTAAAGCAACAGCCTAAACTCTTATAAAAATTGATAATATTGATATATTAAATTAAAATTTTTTAAATTTTGTAATATTTCAACTCTTAAGCCATCTTTTTCTATTTTATATTATTTTATGTTTATCATGCACAATATATTCATCAATCACTACTGTAATCGACCAAAGGTAGTAAGAA